TTATTCTAATACCAAAAATGTAGGAAAGATATAACTTGAAAAAAGAGAGCTCTTCTCAAGAAAGAGAGCTCTTCCCAGAATCACTAATGATTCTGACCCATCCTATTTTTATTGGCTTGGTGGTGAGTCAGTAATAACTTCACCCTGAGTTCTGGGCCACAGGCTCCTTGGTTTCTGTATCTTCTGCAGTGTCAGACACGCAGCACCAGTGGCACCATCAGAAATGCCTCCTGATTAGTTGGCCGCTGCCAAGAGGTCATGTTCAGTCTCACTCCCAAGGGAGCAAACCGAGGCTAGAGATGACTGTATCTTTGTTTCCCAATGTCCCAATGAGGCAGGGGCAGGCTATGACAAACAGCCTGTGATGAGAAACTCATATAGTGATGAGAAAGGAAGTATGTCTTCGTTAATTTCTACTAATTTAAAAATGACTAAGCCCTATGATCTGGGCATTTCTCAACCAGATGGTACTATAGCAAGGACAGGGATGATGACAGGCAGGTGTGGGAACCAAGCCACCAGCGGGGAAACCTAGCTGGCAAATGGACAGAGTAGAAACTATACCTGGCATGGTTGAAAAATAGGATATTTTCTCGCCCAATAGTCTCCTTTTAAAATGTTTAGATAACGCATTTAAAGAAATTAGAATACAATAAAATAGAGAAACACTGTTGAGTATGATTTCTTTTTTGACCAAATATAAAGAAGTCATTTTTACCATTAAAGTTAAAAGATGCCCATCCATCCCTGTGGAGCATCAGAAAAGGAATGGATGTGGACTTGGAAAATTTGGGCTTGAATACAGATATGCAACTTGCTAGCAGTGGGCCCACAGGCAGTCATTTGGAGAGGCGTGCCATTTAGTGCCAGAAGCCCAGGGTTATGAGGGCATATTATCCTGGGTTTGTATACTGGCTCTGCCACCAAAGCCATTTGACATCTGGGAGTCTCCACTGCCTTATTTTTCACATTGGTGATGAAGTGGTATAATTCACAGTGGGCCTTCTAATGCATTACCTACAAAGTTCACAGGAAAAAAAAAAGACTGAAGAAAAGCTTCCATTCACTCAATACCCAGAAGGAATTTGGATCTATGGTGGTCTTTACCAGGGCCAAGTCCACCAATGGTGTCTCTATCTCCATCCTTTGACACACATGAGCAGGGCCCCCCACACACTAAGGAACACGCCCCCCCCCACCCCTACAGTCTTTTGTTAATGAGGCATGAACAAACCATACACAGAAAGAAGCTTCTTTTTTTTTCTTCAATTTAATTGAAGTTACTTAGAAAAATAATCAGGGTTGAATGGCTTTTCCTGGAGGAAGGTTCACGAACACTTCGCGCTTTTGTTGGCAATGTGGAATTCAGCTTTCTTTAACAGTACAGCAAGATACAGGGAGAGTTTTCTACAACAGACCCTCTACTGCATACAAATATGTAAAAAAAGAAAATCACACTTCACAGAGATGGTAAATTCTATGCCCATATGCCATACTGAGCACGGGCAGCCCCTTCTCTACCTAACAAAGAGCTGAAGACTGAAGTTCGCCTGTGAACAGACAGGGTGGAGCTGGTTCTGGCAGGTCCTGTCAGAGGGTCCGGTTGACTGTGATGGGAAAAGGCTGGGGGAAATGCTGGTGGTAGGAACCCGGGGTGTGTGACGTGGTCAGTCCTGCTGACGTGGAGGAGGGTGAGGAGGGGTTTGGTCACCAGGCTTGCACACAATGGGGCAGCTGGGATTATGTGTGTGAGCAGGGGAGGACAGGCTGGGAAGGGAAGCAGAGGTTAGCACTGGGACTTCTGCAATCACTATTGGAGCACTGGTCCAGACCCCACCAGCTAAGCGTGCTAGGGACTCACACGCTTTGTTCTGGAACTTTCCACCATCATGGCTTAGATCTTTGTGCTTCCACGCCTTTGCCACCAGGAGAATGGGTCTGACTGAAGTTTCTATTGCCCACTGCTCTCCTGTGGAATCCAGATCCTGACCAAGCAGAAGGGTAAAGCTCACCTGGAGGATGGGGAGGAGGAAAGTCTCCTCGGAGGCACCACAGGTCAGCAGACGGCTCTTGTTCCCAGGCCAGCTGGGGAGGGCCGGTAGGGAAGGGGGTCTGGAGAAGCTGCAGGAATTATGGAGAGTTTTCCAACCAAAGGGATGGGGTAAGCAGGAATGTCCTTGTAAATACTACCTTGACCGTACCTGGTCTTTAAAACACAGCATGGCCTTTGAAAAGAGGCTTGGAGATGGGACATCTGCCTGGATTTTTCTCCATCTAAGCCCGTACAGAAAGCAGTTTCAAATATTTTTCTCTAAAAAACACTAACTTTCATTTTCCAGGCACACTTCACCCATGGATTTCTTTAACCAAGGACATGGTTACTTTCCATATTCTGCAAAAGAGTTGAATCGATCTTTTTTAGAAAAGTTTCTGTGCCATTGGGAAATAAAATATGAACGCAAAACAAAACACGAGGAGAAAGAGTCCCTCGTTTCAGAAACCTATTGATGTGTCATCCCTGAAGGACAATCTTTCTCACTTAAGAGAGAGAAGCCAGACGAAAGAAGGCCATCTGCACGTGACACAGAGCAAGCTTGCACAACTGATCAAAGAGGGACTCCGAAATGCAAAACGATGTGAATTTCCATTGAGAAACCAAAGAAGCTCACAGTGAACAATTCCCAGCCATGGAACTGAAGCACTCATCAAGAAATCACCACTCCACTAAGCATTCTTTAAGACCTCAGGAACAGGAAGCCACTCGAGGCCTTAGACCCCCTTCCTGCGGTCCACACCACCCAGGACTTCCCTCTGTGCCATTGGGAGGGATGGGATCGTTGTCTCTGGCAGTGTCCAGGATTAGAACCATTGTACTTTGGTCAAAGTTTAATTCATTGATAAAGTGTCTCTGCTGCTATAAACCAGATGGAGACTGTGGTGCTGCTTTCATTGGTTTTTTTTTTTTTTTTGAGGGGTTTGGGGGTGACAGTTTTTATCTTTGTAGACCTTGGATATGCTAAATCAACCTAATCAAAGCATATTCTGTGGAACACTGTCCGTGAGATGATCTGCAAAATAGAGTTACTCTGGTCATGTAAGTTCAGGAAATGCCACTGACTCAGTGATGCTGCCCCTGGTGATTCACAGTGCACAGCCCATACTCAAGGCTCTGACAAGTCCTGCGGAAAGGAAACTGACTTGACTTAACCTGTGTTCTGTAGAGCATGTATTAGAAAATGCTGGACAATCTGTTTTAGTCTCACAAGCCCTATTACTGAGGATGGTGTCCCCACCTGGAAATAAAGTCCAGACTCTCAATTCCAAGGACAGCCAAGGTCTGTCACTCAACTTGGTAAAACACATTGCATAAATCTCTATCCACCAAGGGCACGGTTGCTGTGCCCTTCCCAGAGGGGAGAGGTGCACAACGTTTTATAAATAGCTTCTGCTACCTTCCCTGGTGCACACCTCACTCACATTAAATAAAATAATTTCCTCAGTGAGAGGTCGCAGCTGCTGCTCACTGAGCTTGCGGTGAGCTTTACAATACAACTTTAATAGTTTCTGTGAATAAATTATTCATTTTTTTGTTTAGAATATTCTCACCCCTTCACTATATACTGCATCAAAAACAAAAGAGAAAGCAAAACCCATCCCACCCTCCCTTATTATTAGAACTATTATTATTATTATTATATACAGTATCTGCTACCAACTCATTCACTAGCTGTTAAGAGGGATGTGGCTCAAACGTCAAACGGAGAAGCACTGGGGATGGCTGGAAATGAGAAGCGTGTGTAGATGTTAATTAGCAAGGAACAGCAAATGAAAAGTTCTCAGCCTTTCAGGGCTAAAGGGGCATGGATTAAGAGCATGGAAGCCTGTCCCTGCTGCTCACGCATGGCAGTCATCAAGGTGCCAATGGTCTCTCAACTTTGAAGGGTGTGCAGGTGCATTTGTGTACAAATAGTCCACCTCTAACCTTCACCATTGCTAAACCCCAAACGCGCTGAGTCTCAGTTTTGTTCAGTGGCAGGCAGTAGAAGACAACACTTCTACAGAGGGTGTGGATTTTGGCTGGAGATGGCAACAGGAGGCACTTAAGGAGTGTTCCCCTCCTTTACCCAAGGCAGACATTGCTAATCAATCACAGCACTTTCCCACATGGTGCCTGGAGAGAATGTTATGGGATTTAAAGGCAGATACTATCAATATATTAAAAGGGGTACATGATAGGAAACATTTTCACCATCTCATGTATTGGGCAATGAGCTTGAAATCACTCACCAAGTTAAGTGGCCTGCTTCAAGCATATGGCTTTCAAATTTGGGACATAAAAATGCAGATTTGTAGGGGTCATGAACCCCTGGGGTTGCTTATGAATAGCCCAAATCCCATGTAAAGTCCACGAATATCAGGGCTTTGCTAATTTTTGAGCTGGAGGCTGTGTGTCCACATAAAGCTTCTTGAGGGCCAAAACTATTGGGTTTGTTCAATGCTATATCTGCATGGCCTAGAATATAGTAGATGCTTAATAAATACTTGTCAAAAATAAAGCAATAGCCACTCCACCTTCACCACAACTGGCACTGCCAGTTAAACATTTCTGTAAAAAAAAAAAAAAAGCCTATTTTATCAGACTATTCATTCTGGTGAAAAATTTGCTATAATCAGCTCTCTCCTTGGGTTTAAAAAAAAAAAATCACATTTCTTTAGTGCAAGGAACTTTCAGGTTTGGCATTGGTTTGGAATGAGTCCCTTGCAAAGACACCTCTAAGTGCAATAGCAACCTATTTATTTCTAGCAGAAATTCAAGAACGGTGGCATTGGTACACATGACAATGGCTATTATCACATGACTCCAGGAGAGGTTAGGAAGGAGAACATTCATGCCCCCAAGTGAGCTGTAGCAAGCAAAGCACGAAACATAGATTTCTTCTGGAAAGACGTTAGGATTTTGCTGTCACAAAAAGAAATCTATAGAGACCATGTTTAAATAACTATAAATAATATTAATTAGAATTTATGGAATGCACAGTTCATGGAATTCACCAGAACACAAGGAAACCTTTGAGACAGTGTTGCAGTATTCACTTCTAAAAACAAGGACAACCCATCCTATTCCCCTGCAAAGACAGCTGCCCTTCCTTACGAAGGATTTTAAATAATTCTCACCATGCTGCTTGCAGCATCACCCCCAAAGAAATATTAATTTACAAAATAACCCAATATCCATATAATTCTTTTGACAAATAAAAATCTTAAATTAAAAAGCATGATTCTCTCCCCCTCCCCACCCCCTTTTATTCCAATTTCAGGTAGCTTGGCACTGAGTAATTGAACATTAAAAAATCGAGTTTGTAGACTTCGTATAGCTGCGTTTGGTGCTCTGAGCTGATGTTCTGGAAGAATTCTGTGGTCATTTCATCAGTAGTTCTCGTAGACTTTGCATAGGTGGGGAACTTCAGGTAGCTGCCCACTCCTGCCAGCTGCAGGACGTAGTTAGAATCTTCCTCCAGTGTCTCGTACTTGCCCACGAGGTCGTAGTGGATGTGGCAGGGGTGGCAGAGGGAGTAGACGGTTTGCCAATGCTCGTTGAAAGGCTCCTCCCGCTGGGTGTGCGGATCGATGAGATAGGCGACGAACTCCTCGAACTTGACGTCGTCGCCGCGGCGCAGGGCCTCCTGCGTGGCGTTCTTGCGCTGCCGTTTGATGATCTTGGTGCCATAGCGCTTGTGGAAGGAGGTGTTGTACTTCTGCGTGAACTTGTTGCGGTAGGCCGACACCAGCCTCTCGAAGGGCTCCCGGACGAACAGGAATTTCATGTAGCTTTTCAAGCGGTGGTTGATTTCTGGGATGCTGTACTGGTTCAAGGTCTTCAGGTTGGCGGAGACGTGCGCCTCGTTGGCTGGGATCTCCATGGGGTCGCTGTACTTGCCCCGCCCCGTCAGGACCATCATGATCCGCTTCCAGTTGGTGCAGGCCACCTTGGGGACGTAGCAGTAGATGAGCTCGTGATCCTCGTCCACCACTAAGTGCTTCAGGTCGCTGGGCGTCAGTACCCGCCGCTTGCGGCTGGTGGCGCTGTTGGCGCGGCACGTGTCTGTTACCTGGTCCCGTCGCATCTGGTGGAGAACGGCAGTGTTTGAGAGCTCCAGCTGCAGAGGGGACACAAGAGAAACCCGGGCTTAGTATGTGTCTGCAACATTTCCACTTGGCCGCAAAGGGGACCCTCAGGCCCCCGCCTCAGGATGGAAAAGGTGTCCTGCTCATCGCAGCTGGAGATGTGACCTAGGGGGCTCAGAGTCTAGGAAGCACCAGGGCAGAGCTGGCAGCCTCCCTCGAGGCTACAGGGAAATGCATGGGAAGATGTCCTTTAAATTCTAACAGCAAAGGTCTCTCCCTAGAAGCCACTTGTCCCCAGTTTGAACCAGACTCCCTAGGCCATCTGGAACAGGAAACCCAAGACCACTCTGCTTGGCTCTGCCACCGTCCTGGTGACTGGCATCTGGGGACTCAGAGGGCTTTATGGAGTTGAGGCACCCACTCCTAGCTTCAGTACCTCCACGGGCTCTTCATGAAGACGCAGTGTGGCCCTTTTCAATAAAAGACAATTAATATTAATTGCAGTTAAAGTTATAGAGAGGTAAGGGCCACCAGGGCTCTGGGGCTACAGGTGACACAGTCCCCTAGTTGCCTTCTGGCTCTGGGAACACGGCCCCCAAGCATATGTTGGTCATCTGAGTGGGTAGAGCCAACACTGGTGGCCATGCGTTCTGTTCCGAGTCCATGGAGAATCTTCCAGAATGTTCTTCCTCAGTGCCTAGACCCTCGCATTACTTTATCTTGCTAAGATTTTGCCACCAAGTCTGAAAGCCCAGGAGGCATGGGCACTTGATCAATCCAAATAGCTAGTGATGTCGTGAATGTACCAAGAAATGTTGCAAACAAGCTGCAACATTTCCGGATTTTCCCTCATGCACTACACCCATCAGGACACCGACACCCATATCTAACACTGATTGAACGCTCATTGTGCGCCAGGTCCTGTCCGAAATGTGTGCCATTGTGTGTCAGGTACTGCAAAACTCCCTCCAACCGCTTAAAAACCATTACATTAAACACATTAACTGCTATCAGTTACTGCAATCAGTAACCCAAGGGGTCGGTTTTATTATAATCCCCGTTTTATGGTTAAGCATCTGTCAGACACAACGGCCATGCCAATAATACTGATAACGATTTGCAGAGAGCATCCTTCCTCATTACCTCCTGGAAGCCCTCCCAACATTCCTAAAGCCATGCTGGTCTCGGGATTCTCAGGATTTCCATCGTCAGTGAGGAAACAGGCTGAGACAGGCTCAATGACTCCCCCAAGGTAAGTCCTTCTGTGAGAAGCAGAAGTATGACTCACACCAGATCTTGTGACCCCAGATCTATGCTTTTCACACCATTCTGACATAAAGCTTTGTCCCTGCTGAATATAAAGTACCATGAAGTGGGGGCTTTGCCTTTCCATGGCCATTTCTCCAGTGCTTGAAAAAAAATGCCTGCCACGTAGAAGATGCTTAGCTAGTTTATGTTGAGTGAATGAATGAATGACTCAATATATCTCTTTAGGGATCTACATAGCTCTTTGATATGCAAGTAGGAAGCCCTCTCTGTAGCTAAAGAGATTTCCTAATTGTTCATAGATATCAGAAAGTTCTTTATTAGAGTGTGTGCTGGGATGAGTAGTGTCCCTCCAACATTCATGTCTACCCAGAACCTCCCCAGAACCTCAGAATGTGACTTTGTAGGGAAACAGGATTTTTGCAGATGCAATGAGTTAATTTGAGTTATACTGGATTAGGGTGGCCCTAATCCAATGACTGGAGTCCTCATAAGAAGGGAAAGGGGAGACACAGAGACACACAGGGAGAATGCCCCGTGAGGGCTGAGGCAGAGCCAGGAATTGCCAGCCATCACCAGAAGCTAGGAAGAGAGGAGGAAGGGTCAATTCAGAGCGAATACGACCCTTTCAACACCTTGATTCCAGATTTGTGGCTTCTAGAACTGAGAGAGAATAAATTTCTGTTTTAAGCCACTCAGTTTACAGTAATTTATTATGGCAGCCTTAGGAAACTAATACAGGAGTCAGGTATTCAGTCCATAACGCTGAGCAAGTTCATAGTAAAGTATAAATGGGTAAGAGAAGATAACATTATATAAAATAAGGTTTTTACACAGAAGAATAAGGACAGTGTATTAGGGTACTAGTAAACAGGAAGAGGATGAGATTTGAAATCAGAAGACCTGGGGCTTGGTCTTGGACAACAGCTTTAATCTTCTGAGTCCCAGTTTTCTCATTTGAAAAATGGGATAGTACCACTTTCCCTGCAGGGGTGTTGATGAAATCAAATAAGGCATAGTTCAGCATTTAGTAAATAAGATCAAGTTGAGTGTAGGATTTGGACAAGATAAGGCACAAAGTAGGTGGCTCCTATGTAGGCAGTCTTTTATGAAAGCAGGAAAAAAGAAATCTCCCACCCTCCAAAAAAAGGCCAGGAACTGCAAAGAGAATTTCACCAGCTCTGTAATTCTGCTGCAGGTCAGTCCTTGGTTATTGAATTCAATTCATATTTATTTTAACTAGAAAAACTCTGACCTTTGCAAGTCATGAATTCTTAGCAGATGTATTCCTCACCTTAAGAGGAGCATTCATGGACCTCTTGGGCTTTTACGCAATGCCATTAAAAAAAGAAAAAGAAAAAAGTGTCCTGAAGGAAACAGAAGAACTGAGAAGGGAAGAGTGCCCATCAGTTTTGCCATTTTAATTTCTAAGGACAATTTAAGGCAATAAGTTACTAAGATGAGCAGAAGAAGAAGCCTCCCCCCACCAGTTCTTTTCAATGGGTGACAATTTCCTGGAATGCCCAGGGAGGTAGCATGCCAGTTAATATTCCATTCAGGACCACAAAGGCAGGAAAAATGGAACGATATCGTGGGATCATTTTATAACCAATTACAGAGGCAGAAAGTAACTCAGTGGCGCTTTAAAATGGGGTACTTGAGGTTTCTTCCTCTTCCTTTTCTTCTCCACAGCAGTTTTGGACCCAAATGGTAGGTCCAAATGAAAACACAAAATTAATAAAATTCTCATCCAGAACTCCAGACTTCTCGCGGTTCTATCTCTGGACTTCTTGAACTTTGGTTTATGAAATCTGGAATAAAGGCAGCTCTGGACAGATCAGAGGGCAGAGGCGAATTCTTTGCCATAAATGCTGAGATGGGGCAGGAGAGATTTCTGATGGCAGCCTGGGGTGTTCTACAAATCGCCACATTTGTTCACAGGACCAACAGCTTGTTAGAAATTGTGATCAAGAAAACAGCAGTTTTCAACTTAAAAAATGCAAACCTGGTTACATCACTTTTATGCTCCCCTGGTCTACGGGATGACATTCTTGTCCCCAGCCAGGGCTCAGAGGAGCTTTTGTAACTGTCCTTAAGTCTTCAGCAACTAACACGTTCCCTGAACAGTTTAAGACCTACCCAAGGGACCGACAGCTTTGGGACATCAGGAAGAGAAGGGAGTGAAGAAGACTCATTAATGAGGACACATCTGTCCACTTGTCACTGAATGAGAACACCAGTCTTTTCCAAACAAATTTTACCAATTTTACAAAGCAGGGATTTGTTGATCTGATAATTACTTGGGCTATGAAATCGACCTCTTTCTTCTCACACTTCCTTTCTTTCCCCTCTTCTTTTTTGTTCTTTCTCAAAAGGGTCTGAAGAGATTATAATAAAGGACATAAACTTGAAATTGAAAAAAATGAATATCTTAATATCATGAGGGGTGAGATTAAGAACCTCCTTGGATGGTGGGCTTCCTAGAAGCAGGGACAAAAGGGGAAATATGATTAAATTTCCTTGCTGTGGTTATCAGAAAAGGGAAACATTCCAAATTGGTGGAGTGGAAAAAGTCCACGATTTCAAAGGACTGAGAAAATGCAGTCAGGAGGGGAGATTCCTGGATTCAGTTTGCTTATGTTGGAGAATTTAGAGGGCTGCATTCTTCAGCTGACTGAATACTAATGTTACCATTCTCTTCCATCTAATGTCTACAGAACGCTTCAGTGCATATAGAACACTTTAACATACACTTTCTCATTTTATAGAACCCATGGGGACTTTTCCAGAGACTTCCAGAGCCTACTAAAAGAAACTTAATATTAGCAGACCAGTCCCTATTTCTAACCATGTGTCATTCTCTCCTGGGCTCGCTATGTGATGCCAGTGCCTCTCAAATTTTAGCATCTGTAAAAATCTCCTGGAGAGCTTTTTTTTTTTAAGACTTTATTTATTTATTTATTTATTTTTGGCCAGGGCTGGGTTTGAACCTGCCACCTCTCTCATATGGAGCCGGCGCACTACTCCTTTGAGCCACAGGCACCACCCCCTGGAGGGCTTAATGACACAAAAGTTTGCTGGGCTCTACCCCCAAAGTTTCTGACTCAGTAGGGTCAGGGATATGGCCTGAGAATTGGCATTTGGTTAAATAACAGAAGTTTGTTTCCTCACCATTCTGGAAGCTGAAAGTTCAAGACCAAGATGCCGGCAGGCCTGGTGTTCTCCAAGGCCTCTCTCCTTGGCCTGCAGAGGGCGCCTTTCCTGCTGCCTTCCCACAAGGTCAACCCTCTGTGCACACACCCCTGGTGAGTCTCTCTTCTTAGGAGTACTTCTGTCAGATTGGATTCGGGCTCTGACCGACCACACAGCTCCACTTTTACTTAATTGCCTCTTTAAAGGCCCTGTGTCTAAATACAGTCATATTCTGCGCTGCTCTGTACCCCCCAGAATTCAGCATAGAAATTTTTTGAAGGTCACAATTCAACCCATTACCCCAGGTGATGCTGCTGCTGCGGGCCTTGGGACCACACTTTGAGAACCACAGCTTTATACTATGTGGAAATGACTGTAATCTAACATCTTTCACCAATTCCCAGCTATTCTTAATTACAGAACATAGAACCCAGGTTCACCATCTGCTGCAAACGACTCCTAGATCCGCCCCCAGCCCCAGCCTCCAACTCCCTTCATCTCCCTTTGATCTCCCCAAAGTATAAATTAGGCCAGAGGAGGGCTGATTCTAGGAAACTGAACCTGGCCCCAGGCT